GATGTATAATTAATTTTAAAATTTAAGGTGATGACATTTGGTAGGGACCAACAAACAAAAATTATAGACGAGAAAAAGTTGAGATGTAGGCAAGTTGAAACTAGACATAGGAAAAATGAATTTAATAAAACTACAAATCGATATATGATAATAAAAAAAAATACACAACAAACTAGAAGGATTAAAAAGAAATCTAAGATTGCTGATAAGACTAACTCAAATATAAATTAAACAATAATAAAATAAACCAGAGAAAGTGGATAAGCGATAACAAGTAAAAAAAAAGAGAACTCTGGACACTTTCCTGCAAGAGTTGGAAAACTTCGAGATGTTTTTCGTAATCAATTTATTTAATATATAGTTTATTATATATGGATGGCGGATATGTTTATCTTATAGATCTATATATATTATAATTTTTAAATGAAGAACCGTGTGAGAATACTTGAGGCAAGAGTATGAATGGAAACAAAGGAAAGATCAAAAAGTGAATAATAAATTTAAAAAATTTAATAAAAAAAATTAATGATTGGAAATAGCACGTATGTGAGAGAGAGGATGATGTTGATATGAATTATTTAAAAAGTAAATCAAGTAAAAAAGAAAAAAAAAAAATAGAATCATTTTGGATAGGCTCTTCATGTCTCCTCTCCTTACCACGAAATAATAATAATATTATATATATACCTGTAACGATATGTATATTTATATACTTTTCATACACATACATATTATTTTGTACACAATATATGTATATATATATATATATGTATACATGTATCGTATCACATCCATAATGTATAGTGTTTTCCTCTGTACACACACACACACACACATGCATCCAAAAAATCAATAATTAATACCCACAAGCGTAGGACAGTGGCTTTCATGTGCCTCCACTGAAAATGTCTTATAGGAATCCACATATTATTTCTTTGGTTTTCTTTTCTTCTTCCTAGAAATTGTGTTAAAAATTTTGAAATAATTATATACTACATACAATGATCTAATAATTAAATTTTTTATATTATATTTAAAATTACAATTTTAATTTTTTTTTAAAAATAAAATTTATTATTTTATAAATATATTATAAATTAATAATAATCGAATTATAATATTTAATTAAATAATTATATTGAATAAAATCTTATACTTACGTCTCAAAATTAATTATAGTTAGAGAATTATTAAATTTTTAATGTAAAAATTTTATTTAATAATTTTTAACTAATAAATTTGATTTTTAATAAGATAGTTATTATTATCCATTTATTTACTTTTAAATTTATTATTATTATTATTATTATCATCATCATTTAGAGGTAATAAATAAATAAATAAGCTAAAAAAAAAAGGACGGTGACCTTGGCATGATGAACCCTTCAAACGCGCCGCATTGAAGTCAATGAGTTTGGGAAAAGAGACACGGCTCTGCCACATCAGAAAATGGATATGCTTGGGAATATTTTTTTTTTTACCTTAATTTTTCTAATTTTAAATATTTATTTACTATTTTTGTATACAACTCAATTTTAATTTTTTATTTTCTCAAAGATAAAAGCACCAGTCAAAATATCCAATTAAAAGGAAAAAGAAAAAAAAAAATTTAATCTGTTAGTCCCCAAATTTAGCCTTATTTAGTAGTTTTAAATTAAATAGTTAAATATTTTGTACAAGAGAAAATAATTTGAGTGTTAAAATACTATTTTTATTTTTATCTAATACATTGGTATTGAAATCTAAAAATATTTACAAAAATATAAATATTTTTTAGGGAAAAAAATAAAAAAAATATATATATATATAATTGTAGAATATACTTAAAATAAACTCAATGTAAATAATAAGTGCAGCAGCATAATTAACAACTCCATCCAACCAACATATTATTTATGTGTTTTAATGTTATATTTATTGAAGATAATATAAATTATGATTTTATAAGTATATTATAAATAGATAGTAATTAATATATAATATTTAATTTAATAAAATTAAAAATTTAATTTATTAATATATTAATCTTATTCTGTTGATTATGTTGAATTAAATTAAATTTATTTTATTAATATATTAATTTTGTAATAATAATTAAATTATATTAAGTTTTAACGAATTTATTATATTTATAAATTAAAAAAATTGTGGTGACTAATTTTTTTTTTTTTTTTTTGGGTTAAGTTAGTGAGAGTAGGTTATATATATTTATATGTATATGTTTTTAATGAACACATATAATAGTGATGGAATATTAAATAAGAGAAATTACTTTTATTAGCATATATATACATATTTGTCTCAAAATTTGTGCTACAAGGAAGAAGTGAGTGAAGACAATTTCTGTTAACTTAAATCAAAAGTTTGTTGAGAGATTCTCTTGGTCATTGTATTTGGCAAATGAGTGGCAACAAAAGATGCTACCATTTCCTGATTATTATTGTTATTTTTTAATATGTTATAATAACAAGATTGTTTTTTACTTCATATATATAATAATTAAATATAACTAATTAAAAATTTATCTTCACTATAATTTTTTCACTGTGCAATTTTCTTTAAGAAAACATAATATATAAAATTCGCACAGTAATGAAAGTCAAATCTGAGTCTTTAATCAGCTGGTCAAGGACTGTTAATTAATATAAAATTTATTTAAAATAATTTGTTTTAATTTTTTTTTTCTCTTTTGAATATGTTGTATTTATTTATATAAATAAAATATATAAAAAATTAAAATAAAATTAATAGAGAAATGATAAAACGACAGTTCAACTCACCTTCAATTTTGCTCTCTCTCTCTCTTCAGTAGTAGTAGTAGTAACAAACAAACATCCTATTTTCTTCCTCCCAAAAACAAAGACCAAAAGGGAGGAAGAAACTTATTTATTTTCTTCTTTTTATTATCTAATAATTATATTATTATTATTTATTTATTTATTTACTTACGATGAAATAATCCCCTTCTCCCCTGTCTCACTTTTCTCTTCCTTTTATTTCTTTCTCTTCATCGTTCTTCTTCTGGGTTTCAGACCCGGCCATTTTCTTGTTCTTTTCATTTCTCATTCCCTTCGATTAACTTTCCAATTTCTGTTTCTCTTTTTCTCTATCTACTTCTGCGAAATTCCGTGTTTATTCTATAATTTTTTTTTTTCTTTTTGAACCTGTTTACGGTTGGGATTTCTGCAAGTTTCGTTTTGCGTTGAGGACTCGACGTTAACAGTGAGTTGATTATCTGGTTTCGACTGCGGGGATTGAGCTGTCGGTGTCGTTAATCGGTAGGGGATTGTTTTAACCTGGTGTAATTGAACAGGCAATGCAGGAAACACCCACTTGTGTCGTTTCTGAGAGATCTGTTGAAGGCAATCGTCGTTTCGCCAACCTCAGAGGCGTTCAGTGGCGTGTGAATCTCGGGATTTTGCCCTCTTCTCCTTCGTCTTCCATCGATGATCTCCGCAGAGTCACCGCTGATTCTCGAAGGAGGTACATTGATTTATATCGGTTTTAATATTTAGACATGTAAATTTCTGGTCAACTAATGTTGCGCCAGGAGTTTCTTCGTCCTTGACCGGCTTTGGTTTTGGATGATGTGCTCTCTCGTGTGATTTTACCATAAAAATTGGGGCATAGAAGATTCAACTTCGGGTTTCATTGTGATCACCTCGCAGTGGTGTTCTGATTTCTGCAACGGTGTTTCGCCATCATTTTATGTTAAATAGGTTTTTTATTGATGATTTTGCTAATTTACCTGCAAGTTTTGTTGTATTAGTTTGGCTTCTGAGTTTAACTTATGTTAGATCAAACAAATTAGGTCTCATATACATCTAAGTATAACCTCGTGGAACTTGGGCTTCTATTAGGAACTTGAAAAAAGAGACAGAAATAAATAAGGGAAATTGCTTCATTAGTTGTTGAGAACGAGTCGGTAGTCATCTTGAGTGATAATGGATTTCAGAGAGAAGCTTGTATCAGTCAGTTCAGCTAGAGTAATTATAGCAATCTCAAATCTGAATGTGTTAGTAACAGTTTAACGTTTGTGCTTTATTAGATATGCGGGTTTGAGAAGGCGCCTCCTGATTGATCCACATATGCCCAAGGATGGAAGTAGTTCTCCTGATCTCGTAATAGATAATCCACTGTCACAAAACCCAGGTAACTTTGTATATCACTTTGTATTGATTCCAGTTTGTTATTGGACCTTCTGGAAGTGAGTTGCTATTCCACTTCTGTCAGTACTTCAAATTCTTTCCTTCATGTCTACTGTTCTCAGTGCTCTAATTATTGCAACTTCTAATTGTGGTGTTATTGCTAGATTCTCTACGGAATCAACTTTTTTAATGATTGGCTGTTAATATCCTATGACTTCCCATAACTGCAGACTAGTGTATCATTAACACGTTACAAATTGTCATTTTTCCTTCCAGATAGCACCTGGGGTCGCTTTTTCCGAAATGCAGAACTAGAAAAGACAGTTGACCAAGATTTGTCGCGCTTATACCCAGAACATGAAAGTTATTTTCAGACACCTGGCTGTCAAGGCATGCTGAGACGCATATTGTTGTTGTGGTGCCTTAGACATCCAGAGTATGGTTACAGGCAAGGTAAATAATTTTCTAGTGTCAATGATGCTGTTGTTTATTGATCATATGACTTTTCATTTTACTAGAATAATTTATGGGTTAGTCCCCTTGCACTCGGCTTTTGCTCCATGGTCTATCCACTCTGCATCTGTTGGTGCCTCCGTACATCTGGAGTGCTAGAAAAGTGAAAAGCTGGTACTGCCAACTTAATCATGACAGTTTTTTAACAATGAGAAATGATAAGTTTTTGTTCTATTGACCTTTTTTGAAATGTTTATGAGCTTACAAAATGTAATAGCCGATTTCCTTTCTTTAGCAGGAGAAGAACTTCTCTGAATTCGTATTAATGGCTCAAAGCTAATACACAGAGGAAGTTCTTCATTAACTGGTTGAATATACATAAACTTGATCGTTCAATTTAACACCAGAATGTAGTGAGGGTCTCACTGGAGCACCATGCAGACAGCTATTGTTCTCATTATGTACTTAAACAGAATATACAGGATAAGGTTTTCAGGCATCTAAAGGGACAAGAATTTGTGGAACTTGATTATCTAGCCTTGTACCCATTCTTGATTGTGTGCCTTGTAACATATTAAAAAGGGCTACTCGTATTAAAGGTGGTTGTATGTATTTGTAGACTGGTAGGAATATTCCTCCATCTAGTCCTCTCCCTTAATATTGTAGGAAATGGCCTGCACGTGTGCAATTTCTTAACAATGATTTTTTTGTTTTCTTAAGTGCTTGTAAACAAAAAAAATTTCACCCAGTCTTCAGCAGATGAAGAGAGTACATGGTAAAGAAGATAAAAGAATGAGGTTACCTGAGATTGAAACATTCTTGTTATGCACTTGTCCATTCTAGATGGAGTAGATGTGGGAAAGATTTTCTATTATAATGAAGGAAGACTGGAAATCTTAAAAAAATGTAGTCACTACAAGTTTTAGCTTGAGCATACCAGTCTTCTGAAGAGGTTCTAATTGGGACTCTGGTGTTTCTATGGTTGTGATTAGGTGATCTTGATTTCTCTAACATGTAATTCACATTTCAAATTTGAATAACTACCTAATTCACATTCTTCCAAGATCCATTTGCATGAATAATTTTCTTGAAATTTTTTTTCTGATGTTTTAGTTTCCTATCTCCTGATGTGTCTGCATTTCTGGTTATCATTGTAGGAATGCATGAACTTTTGGCTCCTTTGCTATATGTTCTTCATGTTGATGTGACGCACCTTTCTGAAGTGCGGAAAACTTATGAAGACCACTTCACTGACAAGTTTGATGGCTTATCATTTCAAGAAAATGATGTTACATACAATTTTGATTTTAAAAAGTTCTTGGAATCCTTGGAAGATGAGATTGGTTCTCAAGGAAGTTCGAAGAAAGTTAAGAGTCTCGATGAGCTCGATCCTGAGGTACAGATGATTGTATTGTTAAGTGATGCATATGGGGCCGAAGGTGAACTGGGCATTGTCTTATCTGAGAAATTTATGGAACATGATGCCTATTGTATGTTTGATGCCTTAATGAATGGAGCCCATGGTTCAGTTGCTATGGCAGAGTTCTTTGCTCACTCACCTGCAAGTGGGTCAGAAACTGGCTTATCTCCTGTTCTTGAAGCATCTGCTGCATTATACCATCTGCTTTCTCTTGTTGATTCATCTCTATATGGTCATCTTGTTGAGCTTGGTGTAGAACCCCAGTATTTTTCACTTCGTTGGTTGCGGGTTTTATTTGGGCGTGAGTTTTCACTTGATAACCTTTTGATAGTGTGGGATGAAATATTTGAGGCAGATAATACTAAATTAGATAATGGTGTTAAAGATGGTTCAAATGCCAGCGATGGGATCCTTAATTCTCCAAGGGGAGCATTTATTGCAGCCATGGCAGTTTCATGATACTTTATTTGAGGTCTTCCTTGCTTGCAACTGAAAATGCAACTTCTTGCCTCCAGAGACTACTAAATTTTCCAGAGAGTATTGATTTGAGAAAACTTATAAAGAAGGCCAAGTCTTTGCAGACTCTTGCATTGGATATCGTTGTGCCATCCGCATTTCCTTCATTTAATGGTGGAGTCAGTTATAACCGTAGTAAATCAGTTGGAACAAGAGGTCATACTCTTTCGTATGATTCTGTTTCTCCCAAAACTCCTTTAACTGTTGTACCTGACAGCTATTGGGAGGAAAAATGGAGAGTTCTGCACAAAGCAGAAGAACAAAGGCAAGGTATTGCAGGAAAACCAAACACAACCCAGAAAAAGGGTTGGTCTGAGAAAGTAAGATTAAAAATATCTAGAGCTGAATCCGATCCATCTCCTGCCAAGTTTAAGAATGGGAAGAAGGAACCTAGGGCATCAATTAGGCGAAGTTTGCTTGATGATTTGTCTCGACAACTTGGATCTGAGGAAGATGCAGAGAGAGTAGAGTCCACTGACGTGGTTAAGCCAAATAGTCATCATCATGTAGATGTAGATAGTGATGAAGTCCCAAGCCAAAAAGATGATATCTCTATGGAAGTTGAAGTGGAGGGACAGAATGGTCTTAATAAGGACTTAAGTTGCACTACTGAAGAGAGCTCTCTGAGTGGAAATGCTGGCAGTGAGGAAAACTCATCAATTTTTTCAGATCCAACCAGCCCTGCTAGAGGCACTAGTGACGCTGAAAATGACTCGGAGAAAAGTAGTTTTGTTTCAAATGTATCCTTTGATGAAAATGATATTCATTCTCAAAGAAATGCACAGGATTCACCTCTTCCGGTGTCCCATCCTGATGCCAACACTTCTCCAGAATTGCAATGCAACAATGATAGTACAGGTAAAGCAATGGCAGGTATGAAGGAGAGGAAGTCACTCTCAGGCAGATTCCCGTGGTTTTGGAAGTTTGGAAAGAACAATGCTGGTGAAGAGGTTCCTGATAAAGAAGTTATTCCTGAGGCTCCAAAATCAATCTCCGATGAAAGTCGCAGGGGTGATACAGGTCCTTTTACTGCTGATGGTCTCTGCAATTCATATTCTGGAAGCAAAGCAGATTTGGACCAGAATGTTATGGGGGCCTTGAGGAATCTAGGGCAGTCCATGATTGAACATATACAGGTAAAGTTCTTATGTTCATTTTAATCCAAACTCCAAATCTTCCTTAAAAAGTGCCTCTTTAGATTTTTTTTAGTTATGGACAATAGTTCTAAACTTAATCTGTATCTGGAAGCCTATGCTTGGACAGCCAGTTTCATAGGGGATTTTCTTTAGATTTGTGGATATTTGTTCCTGGCTTTTTCTTTAACTAGTCTTTGTCTGTAGACCATTCTCAGATTTATGTTGGCATTCTCTCTTTCTTAGGGTTAGATAACCAGGAAATGCCTGAAAATTTTTCCTTCTAACTGAGAATTTATTTCTCTGACGTTTTCTTCCGAAAGCTCTTTTTGGGATATAGGCTGTAGTTAAATTTTGACTGTCGCGGTTCCTCTCAGGTAATCGAGTCTGTTTTCCAGCAAGATCGGGGTCAGGTTGGTTCACGGGAAAACTTCTCCAAGAATGTCCTTGTTGGCAAAGGACAAGTTACAGCAATGACAGCTCTCAAAGAGCTTCGGAAAATCAGCAATCTGTTGTCAGAGATGTGAGATTTTCTTAATTTGACATACCTGTAAATATATTTTTGTAATTATTATTATTTTCTAGCACAGAATAAAAATGGTTTCTTCAGCTTCTTTTCTTCCTTCCATCCCTCTCAACAGCCGAATTTTGATGAGATGGTATAAATAGGAGTTTATGTTAAAAAAGTACAGATTTCTGAACTTAAACGCCTGATGATGTTTTGAGGAACTCCTTTATTCTTTTGTATGCCAGCTGATGGCAAGATGATGTTTAGCACCCAAAATGGGGATATAAATTAAAGCCGAAGAGATGGCATTTTTCCTAGTATTTCGGGTAGTATTTATCTAACATTTGTCTAATTATTTAATTACTACACAACATTGTATTTATACTATTTGTCTACAGATCCCCATGGAAACGGGAATTAATGAAAGAGTAAGTTGACCACCCCTGATAGTAGTTAACTAGTACTAGTTGATGGGCAATTTAGCAAGAATATTTTATAAAATTCTTTAGACCCTCAGGATTATAAAATATCTTATTTTCACGCAATTCACATCATTCTCGTATAAGCTGTGTGACTTTTTATGTTCTATCTAAGATGCAGCGACAAACTATTTTTGCGACAGAATACATTCCTTGAAAAATTCAGTGTTAGAGGTCCCACAAGTATCTGTTTTTTGGAGACAAAACTCATAAATGGAACACACGTTCTCATGCTTATTATCTGCACTCTTCACATTTTATTTTGTTTTATTTAATAATTTATTGCTCCCAAAAAAAAAAAAAAAAAAAAATTATTGCAATTAATGATTGCAAGATTTATAGGACGGGTGTTGTTATAAGCTCAACTTTACAACATAAATTGCAAAAATAATCATTTTTAAAAATGGTCAGATTAAACTATTTAAAATCTAATATTTATAGTTAATTATGTTTATTCTCAAGTTAAATTCTTATTTTCTAATTGCTGGTTAAAATGTCATAACAAATTTAAGTTACTCATTTTTTCTTGCTTCTGAATAGAAATAATTTAGTGTTTTTTATTTAAAAAAAAAAAAAGGTCAAGAAAGTACATATAAGATTTTTGTATTATTCAAATTTCATATTTTATTCATCTAATATATTCGTAGATAAAAATTTATATCATAATTATTATATTTGAATTGCTTTCGTTCTTAATTTAAATTACTTAAAATGATACAAACATAAAAGATTATTATTGTACAATTTTAGCCGACAATCACTTTTACAGCTAATAAGGTGTCAGAACGAAGCACTAATTGAACTATAAATGAGTTGTAAATTTAAAAAAAAAAATACAAAAGCAACAGAACTTCACAAGACAAGGTTTGAAGAATACTCAAAACTCAAAACTCCTAAATTAACTCAAACTCTATAATTGCAGCATACAGTAATACATACATATATATATATATATATGTATTATACCACTGAAAACCTTTTGCTGATACGATCCATTCCTTCTTTTCTCCTTTCTTGAACATTTATTTCTACATGAAAATAAATCTAAATCCACTCTTCCATCTTTCAAGTTGTTGCCCTGCAGGCAGGATTTTGCTACTATGATCTCAATCTATGTTGTGAAAGCCAGGGAGCAGTGAAGTTATGAAACCAAAAACAATAATTTGGATCTCCTTAACAATTCCCCACCATTGATTCCCACGATTGCCTCCTTCGGGTTGTGCCCCATTTTCATTCTCAACAGCCTGATTACCATTGTTCACGGGTTGATTCTCATTCTCTGCTCCTCCCTGTGCCTCTGAAGGGAGGGTTAGCAGAACTACAGTTATCACAAAAGCATTGACCACAAACAAATATTTGCATGTGAACTATACGCATTACTCTTGCTTTTAAAACTGCATATGTATACACAATTATATAAATAAATATATATAATTCCCTGATGACCTATTCCATGTCAGAACGACATGCATCATGACAGAATGATAAGTGGTACTGCAGCAAAATGTCTTTGGTTTTAAACTTTAAGGATCAAGCATCCATGAAATTAACACAAGTCGTTGTGATGCAGTCTATAAAATTTTGCTTTACTACTTAGAATGTGAAACAAATTCCTGTCATGCAAGCTACCAAACCAGGCATGACAGAATGGTCTCGCAACATTTTGACAGCAAAAAGTTAAGAAAGTATGCATCAAACTTTTATATGATAGAGGAATCATGCTTTTATCCCTAAAGTCTTATTTAACAATTTTTTTGTAGATATGGACCTTTGCTTTCTTCCTCCACAGAGAAAATAGAAGGTACCTCCTAAACCTGCATTTTCATTCCCTTGCCTTGCTGCATCAGGAACATTATCAGCCCTGAAGGCAGGCCTTGGAGGCTGAGGTGGTGCAGCTGCTCTCTGCATCCCTTGTGAAAGCCACCTTATCAGTGGTGTGAGAGCTCCAGTTTGGTATCTGCAGAAATCCACATACACTAATACTATATTAGAAGAATTAATTTGAGTAAAATTCAACGGAAATAAATAGAAGCATTTAGAATGGAGGTGATAACTATAATTCCATGTTTTCAGATAATCCTAACTAGAAACGAAAATGGGAATAAATACATAAATAAAACCTTATTTGCTAATCTTAAGAATCTGAAGATAGTAGGCAGCAACTCGGTGCGCACAATGTCTCAAAGTCAAATTAATAAGATTCAGATACTTACAAATAGATGATTGACGCGAATAGCACAAGAACGGCTAGCCTTTGTCTTGATCCATCTTGATTGAACAGAAATATCACAGCCACAAGCTTTAAGATAAGCAGTAAATCAAGTTGAAATGCAATTTGAAATCTTCTTACGACCACTTGTCTGTGGGGTACAGGTTGTTGCTGTTGACGCTGTTGTTGTTGTCCCACTTGCCTGTTCTCCTCACCTGCTGCTGCATCCTCGGTATTTGTTCTTCTGTTGTTAGAACATGAAAATAAAGTTATGACGTCCTAATGCATTTCCAATAAATGAGTTCATTAGAAAGATAAATTTTGGTGCCTGCTATAGATGTCATCATCGCTAGCATCCGTGGTTGATTATTCAATTTTTTTGAGAAGATATTTACTGCTCAACTTAATCCAAGCCCCAAAAGGTAGTAAACTCTTAAATGTATGCTACGTTCTACATTAACAACCCAACCCATTTATGCTTGTTTTTTGTTGTGGGCAAAAACTACTCGCTTCACATATCTAGAAACCTCTGAATTGATAACTCAGACTAACTAGGTATCTCATTAATATTGAATACCAAAGCAACTAATAGGAAAATATCCATAAATTTAAGTGATACCACAATGAGTCAATAGTCATAAGTCCAAGTTCCCATCTCGATATGAACTGAAATTCCGAATTTACTTACGTGGGTATATTGTAGGTAAGAGGGATAAGATTGTTGGATGGAAGTCCGGTAACGTGCCCCATAAAAGGAAGAACAGGGACAGCATAAATGCCTGCACCCCGATTCACCTGTTCCTGATTTTGCAAGGGAGTTAACCCAGGAACAAGTGTGGGATAGAAGATTGGATGCATCTGAAAATCACCATTTGCAGAAGCTGGAAACCCGAAAAATCCTGGAACCTGTGATAAGGAGCCATAAAGAGAAGATCCTTGTCAAAAACACATTGAAATCAGATCTATGAAAAAATCTCAACCATTGTACATCCCAACATTAAGGAGCCCTTTGCCAAAGCTTATGATATTCAACAATCCCATCTTCTACTCTTTGTTCATTATCTTAATTCAAATTGTGTCTTATCTCCAAAAGCTATAAACTCCAGGTGCTTAGTGATCCTATTATGGAACAAACGTCCAAAAGAAAAAAAAAAAAAGGCGCATCTTCCTAACATGAGAACTCTTAACTGGAAGTTTTTTTATCGATTAAAATCTATAATTGACGCATCACTAAGGCATCCTTAAACACATTATTTTGCTATACTTTATCATTTGGCCTATCAAGTATGTCTTAAAATGTTAAACAAATTATTTCCCAACCAACTGATCTAAATTTCACAAAAGGAGTATTCCTTTAGCACAAAAATCCATTAGAAACTCCACAGTTTACTGAAAATGTGTTGAACTTGATGAATGCTCCAAGCATCACTTTCTCCTCGAGTCAACCAAATGAAACTTCCTTTCAAATAAGGGCCTCAATATTAATGTAAAAATGTCATGCACACACAAATACAACAGGCAAAGCTGTAAACTAAAGAAGAATTTCCCACCAACATGAAGAAAACTAGAGAACATCAGCCTATATATAATCCCCCAATAGGAAAAACTGAACATTTACACATCATTCATAATGCAATATTGAATAATTGAATCATCCCCTTCTCATCAGCACTCCAATCTATAACTAAAACCTAATTGCACAATCAAGGAGCAAATTTCAAATCTACATTTATATACATGTGCGCTAAAACTTTTAGAAAATCAAAGTGAACAATAAACAAATTAAGCATAAGAAAGAGTATATCGAAAGGGGATAAGAATTAAAAGAAACTGCATTTGATGGAATTAAATCGATTGTCGATATAAGACCTGTGGTTGCTTGGCGGTATCTTCTGCTGATCTCTGGAACGAAGAGTGTTTTGACGCAGACGAAGACGACTTTTCGGGTTGTTCAGCCATTGTAGATTGATCAAAGTTTTTTAAGCTCGTTGTCTTCTCCTCTCTCCCTCGTACTCAGACCGACAGGCGAGTTCTTGTTCCTGTTTTCTCCTTTTCCCTCTTTTTTCTTTAATATATATATATACACATATGCTAGATACGTATATACGTGTGTGCATATACATAAATACACATATGTATGCGGATAGGTTCTGAGGTTCTGTGTGCCACGTCGAGTTCTCGGTTTGACGCCAATAGGGACGTGCCACGTTGGAATTAGAGGTGATATAAAAATTACTTTATATATATATATATATATATATATTTTTTTTTTTTTCATCTCTTTACACTTTTTAATATATATATATATATATTTTAATTTATTGTCAATGTAATACTTTGTTGTATTTCTACCCGTGCTTAATAACATTTCTTTGGGTTTTATTTTTATGGCAGAAAATTAATAAACTTAAATAATTTTAGTAAAAAATACATGAAGAATAATTTAAATACGTTATTTTAAAGCAATTATTTTTAAATTTACACAATAAATAATTATTTATTAATTTTTTTTTATTATAGCAAAAAATATGAATATGGAACTATACAAAAATAATTAATGATTCCAACTCTGTGTTTTGTTCTTCACCCTATTTAAAAAAAAAAAATCATAAAATAAAGTTTCACCCTCATTATTCGAAAATTATATTTCATTTACTATTACGCAAAACATATATTAAGAAATATTTCAACTCTTGCATTACCATTCATAGGTAATTAATTAAGCATTGATTTATAATTAAATTTACTCACAAATCTTCTAATCCTAACGTGGATGATATAATTAATGTAAATACAAATTTTGTTTATATGGGTGACAAAATATGTTCTTGCTTTTATATTGTGTTTAAATTCTTTTACTTTCATTTGGAAAAAAATAAAAAAAATCATTTTGACTTATTTTTAAACATAATGTCATTATCATGTTAAACTAGTTGAAATCAGCTTCGAAATTTTAAATTTCCATCAATAATTTTATTTCCAAATAATCGATAATCAAAAAATAAAATTTTTCAAAAATTATAATCTAATGATCATGCAACTCCTAGTAGCATAACTCAAAAGGTCTTAAAAGAATCATCAGGGAAAAATCCAACTTGTAATTGTTCAAAGAAAATTTACATGATCCGAATAACATCAGGATCAACTTCCAAGCAGAATAGAATGGTAGTCTTTAACTTATTTAACAACTGCTTAAGCTGCATCCTGCAACCGATCCTGCAGTCAAAACTACCAGTATTGCATCTGTGCAACACCTGATTCAGATACTTTTGTTCTGCCTGCTTTTCCTCGACCACTTAATAGAGACGAGGCCTGTATATACCAACAATCATCAGTTAACAGAAAATGATGGTGAAACTTGACATATATGTTTATCCAAAGTTAGTTTGGAGAGTTTGAATTAAACGTCAGTTTCGGTTAGAAACTTTCCACCGACAAATTCCCTTGGAATTTATATGGTAAACGAAATTTATAGAACTGTGATCAATCAAATACTACAAAGCTGCCTATCTGCATGATTGAAGCTTTTATTTTTGCAACATGGCAGTTCATACCATCAATTATCCTAGCTCTTATTGTGGCTTGGCATCCATTATTGAGTAGAAGGATAAAATAAAGCAACCAATTATCTAAAACTTCAAAATTTATTACTTACTATATTGTATTTCAATACTCACTTCGTGTGTAAATGAAATTAAACACTGATTCAAGCAGGCAGACCTACGTTTAGGCTCTAGGCTACACTTAAATCAATACTTAACAGGCAAATCAGATTCCCATCATTTCAATTCAGAATCTCAAGCTCTGATAATATGTGAAGTTATTAAATTGGTGGTCAATTATTCTAAAAACTTAAGCCAATAAGAGAAAGTATTCAAGCATAATATTTAATAATATTCTACGCATCAGAAGCCATGATAAGAAAAGTTGTGCCTGAAAAACCTACCCAAGCATTCACTCACACACAAGAAGCAATAAGCCTGAGCAGAAAGTATGCTTAAATCAAACGAGCACCTAGATTATCAAAATCATGAGAGTAAGCACTGCAGATGATATTATTATCCATCCTATGGGCAAAAACTCTAAGTCACTCCCTAAGATAAAAAGTCTATCTTGAAGGAAATAACTTGAGCCAAATTTCAAGGTTATGAAAAGAAGCAATGGTGACTCACTAGTTACTAAAACAGACTTACACTGAAACCAAGATATACGATTTAGTTGTCATCCTCATCTTGAGTTTCAGTTGTGCTTTCTGAATCTGCCAGCACTTCCGCACTATCCACCTCCACCTGCTGGGTGGATGAATTATCTGCAGTTACAAATGAACGTATTTTTATACCAGTTAAAGTTCATGAACCTCAGACATAATATTTGGAACAATATCTATCATACCACCACATTCTCAGGCTAAAGAAAAGCACTTTAAACTAACCAGTTTCCAGATTATATTTGATTCCTAATGTTTGTTATAGTTCTTCTTCATCTAACTGTCAAGTTTTCACATATCTGTTTAGAATGAAAATTCCATTGTTATTTTTGCTGTTATTTTTACATCTTCCTGTTCCCATAAAACTTCCCTTCTATTTCTGGGTTTGCCCATTCCGGGATTTTAGCAATATTGTGTTAAAAAAGATCGGAAATACTCACATTTCAACGGCCCCCATTCAACTTTAACTCTACTGAATTAAATCAGCATCATCCAAACACAAAGTTATTAATTTCTTGAACTATCTCCAGTATCAAACTCAAGCAGAGATTTAGCTTCAGATGTTATGATAAACCCTCAACTTCAAGCCGGAGATCCAGCAGGATTCCCCTAAGGAATCCCAAATACCTGCAGTAACCACCAACTACTAGCAAAGGAAGCGGGCAACAAAGACCACTATCTCCTCCGTTTTTATTGTAATTTCTGTTTATTGATAATTATCCAGTAGCATAGATGTAGGAAAAGCAGTTGTAACTTTCTCTATTTAAACACCGGAAATCATCAATTAAGGGATAGAAAAAAACAGCTTGTTCATTGGTCTTTTCTCGCCAAAAGTAGAAAATTACTTACTGTACTTGTGCCTCTGACTAGGACCAACATGTTATCCTGGCGCCATGAATGCAAATTGCTTGATATGGTCTTATTTTCACAGCATCCATAGGGATGTTCCATTCAAGATGCTATTAGCAATCTACCTTTCTATTTCCATTGAGAATATAAATTGCCAAATTGGTACGTCAAAAGACAGAGAACGAACGTTCAATAACTTCACACATAAAAGTAATATACAAAGCTTAAATCCAACTCCAAGTGTGAAAACCTAACCAAGTGCCCTATAGTAATATAGGATGGATAATAATAGAACCTGAATATACACACAAACATATATGCACGTAAACTCAAATTTCCATTTCATATTAGGTTAATCAGCTAACCGCACCTTTGATGAAGAACGATGAGGAAGGCCAGCCGATAGAGGTGGTGAGAGAAAGGGACTGCTCTTTGGTCAAGGGATTGGCCAAAATGTCAAACAAATCAACGATCTTGGTTGAGCCCGTCGGCAGAAGGGGCGGAACCCAGAAGGAAGAGCCAGGGATGAAGGGGAGCCAATCGGGTGTGGACTTCTGCACGAGGAGCCTGCGGACGACGTCCTCCAGCTTCTTCACCGCCAAAACCTCGTAGTCTCTATTATTGTCTGACGAAGAAGAAGAAGAAGAAGAAGAAGAAGAAGAGGAGAGTGATAAATCGTCGAGTTCGATTTCAATGAATTGGGGAGTAGATGAGCGGTGGCGATGGAAAGATAGGACAGTTATTAAAGGTGCTGATTTGATCGACTGAGAACTGCATAATTTGGAATGGCGGAGTAGGGCTTGGGAGATAACTCCGGCCATGTCGAAGACAAATGTATTGTCAAAATTCGCCAGATCTATTTGTCTATACATTTATATGTAGTAAAATATTTATTTTTGTGTTTAAAAAATTAAGTTATTCAAATTAATCACTCCCTTGACACGAGTTCGATTCCTTACAGTTCGAACTAGATGAGATTAAAAAATTATTATTCAAAAACAATTCGGAAAAAAATTATATTATTTTTAAATAAAAAATGGAAGATATAATTTTTTATAAAAAATTAAAACCAAAATTTTTAAAAGATATGATTTAATTAATTTTAGTCAAATCTTCTATTCCCATCTTTTATTTAAAATTGATGAATGTTAGTATTAATATTTGTTACGTGAATTTAAATATTTACTAAGTGTCTCCATATGTAATATATATATCTTATGTAGCATATGTTGTATTCATTGTAATATTTTAACATATCGATTTGGTGTTTTTAAGGGGAAAATTTGTGTGTGTGTAGTGTAGCACAAGAGGAGAATGGACTGAGGCTGATTTAAGGAATAAAGACTGAGTATTTGGGGAAGAACAGATCGGATGGTGGAGAAGAGTTAGAAGTTTCAACGATTGGGATTGAACCGGTTTGGGTATAAAAGGGAATAATGAACTAGGTTGGAAAGAAAAAGGGGAGAAGAAGAGAAATAGAACAAAAAAAAAAGAAAAGAGAAGGGTCCAAGAGAACAGCGGGATGACGAATGATTTGTAGTTGCCAGGAAGAACGAGAAGCAAGAAAAGTCGGTTGAATTAGAGGCAGATGGAACCAAGAGGTAAATAGATTTTGCACTTTAAAATCCGGCAATGGTAACACTTGATTGAAGTTTTTAAGTTCTTTCCCTCAATTTGGGAGTAGAGGTTGGGAGCTTAGCAAACTAAATGGGAGTGTGAGAGATACGGGAAGAGGTAGGTGTGTAAGTGAGGTTAATTAATAGTAACAAGCCGATGTAGGCAGACGCGAGTGAGAGTATGACTGAGGGATTATCGATACTGGGGAGGAGTGGTTGTGCTATGCGTTTTGGCAGGGTTGTGTGTGTGTGTGTGTGTGTGTGTGTGTATGGCCATTTTATGGTTGATAGGGGAATTCTGGACATTTTTGTGTGTGTATGGCAGTCTATATGAGCGATTGTGTGTGTGGCCATTGGTTGGTCAATATAGGTATATACATGCAGTAAAGTATGTTTTGGAAGGATTGTGTGTGAGTGGTAGCCTATAGGGGCGATTGTATGTGCGTGTGGCTATAGGATGGCTGTTTTGAGGATGTGTCATACAAACATGATGGCCAATGAAGGCGATTGCATGTGTGTGTGGCCAAAAGAGGGCCAGTGTTGCTTTCAATGGTGTTTTGATAGGCCAATACAAGCGGTTGCATGTATGTGTAAGGCTAGGGGATGGCCGAAATTGTGTTGGTGGCATACTGTTGAGGGTGCAGAATGCCGGAATGGCGACTGTGTGCTTGTGTGTC